GCAACTTCCATGTAAAGAAGGAATTCTTATTCTCATTTTATAGATGAAGACACAGAGGCTTACAGGGGTTAAGTAACTTGTCTTAAGTCATAGAATAAATAAGGGGTTGAACCAGAAATCAAATTGAAATGTATCTAATCCTAAAGACCATGCTTTTAACTCCTGTTCTCTCTTGGACTCTAACACTGTTTTTTCTTTTGAAAACACAGGAATGATAACTAGTTGAGTGCATTCTTATGAAACTCATAGTCATTCTATGATGTAGGTTTCCTTAGGAGGACATTTTTTTACACGAAATTATTGACTTAGAGTTGATCCTTGAACAACACAGGTTTGAACCGCAAGGGTCCACTTACACGCAAATTTTTTCAACAACTATATGGGAAAATATTTTTGGAGATCTGTGACAATTAGAAAAACCTTGAGATGAACCATGTAGCCTAGAAATATTTTAAAAAAATAAGAAAAAGTTGCTCATGTCACAAATGCGTAAACTATACATCAATACTTGTCTGTCTTCTCATTTACTACCATAAAATGTAAACAAATCTATTATAAAAAGTTAGAACTTATCGAAATGTCAGAATGTATACATACACACAAAAACTGTGTGATGCCATTTGTAGATGAGAAAAAATGTAAATGTAAAGATTAAATCCTCACTGCACAAAATGAACTGTAGTACATACTGTACTACTGTAATAATTTCACAGCTACCTCCTGTTGCTATTGTGGTGAGCTCTAGTGTTGCAAGTATCTGCTTAAAACACCATGTGACACCAATCATCTCCACGTGAACAGTTCATCTCTCCAGTAAATTGCGTACAGCAGTTAAAAGTGATCTCTTGAGATTCTCACACATTTTTCATCATGTTTAGTGAAATACCATAAATCTTGAATAACACCATGGGACTCTAACGAAGCGCCACTAAAGATGCTAGACGTACTCCCAAGTATCAGAGAAAAGTCATGACATTATAAGAAAAGTTGAATTGCTTGATATGTACCATAGGTTGAGGTGTGCAGCTGTGGTTACCTGCCATTTCAGTCAGACGGCGTAAACTTACAGTATCGATAAATGCAGCACAGTTCTGCAAATGTATTTTCCCTTCCTTATGATTTTCTTAATAACATTTTCTTTTCTCCAGTTTCTTTGTTGTAAGAATACAGTATATAATACAAAATATGTGTTGATTGACTATTATCAGTAAGGCTTCTGGTCAACAGTAGGCTATTAGTAGTTAAGTTTGGGGGGAGTTAAAAACTAAACACAGATTTTTGACCATATAGGGGTCAATGTCCATAACCCCCACATAGTTCAAGGGTCAACTGTATTCTAACCAGTATCATATCTTTCCATTTGTTGTGTCCTACAGTGGGGCACAGCAGGTACCAAATGAATGAATGGGAGTCCTTGGGCCTACGAGAACGCTACACCAAAGCACTGAGATAATTTGTGGACAGACTGATGGCAGTGATCTTGAGGAATGAAGAATGGGAGGTTCAAGAACACCAGAGAGAAAGTGGAAGAAGGCAGATTCCACAGAGCACAAAACTGTGAGCTTATCCAGGATGCAGAGCAAGACCTGGCCTTAATATTACTGAAGTGATGGTTAATGGTACCCCACACCTACTAACCATCACTTCAGCACTGATGATTGAGATCCAGCACATACTCACTAAGGACAGTCATTTCAGACCAACCCACTGCCTTCTTTGCCTGGGCTTGCAGAAATACCATAAGCCGCAGCTGGAGCTGGGTGGTGGCTGACCCTTCAGAAGAGGTTCTATGTTCTTCCATTCACCCATTTACAGCCCCTGGATTAGCTGACAGACTGAATGACGAATCAGGACTTTACAGTGAAATATAACAGGGATGAAAATAAGATCTTGCACTTGGTTTCAAAAACCCAACTGAGTAAATCCAAGATAGGGAAGGCTGTGATTTAGGAGCAACAAATATAAAAATGTCTTTGAGTAAGCTGATAGCAAGCTCAATGAGAGATCACAGTGTGACGTGGCTGGCAGAATAGTTAGAAGCAACCTTAGCTGCATTAAAGGAACATAGTGTCTGTGCTAGAATAAGGGAGGTGACAGTCCGAATCTGGGGTGGCTGGCCTGCACTACAGCTGTACTATGGTGACTTCTGGAGAGCTCACTTTGAGAAGGTCTGGTAACAGGTCGATCTGCTAGGTATTCTCCATTTCCCCCGTCCCCACTGTGATCCATTCTCCGCACTGCTCTGTGCACTATGGAAGCTGCCCCTAATATATTGCAGATCCCTTGCTCTGATGGGTTCCCACTGGGTTCAGCCCCAGTAGGTGATGCAAGGGCAAGAAGACAGAGAACATGCAGAATGTGCATTTCTTGTGCCACTCTCTTCTTGCTCTGTCTGCACATTTCTGACAGTGGCTGCATCCCTCTATGACTTTAGTTCCAGTCCAGCAGCCCCTCGTCCATAGCCCCAGCTTGTAACAGGTTCCAATTTGCTTCCCTTGTCCCTCAGGCCTCCGAGTGATTAAGAGCTTCCCCCTGCTGCTAGCCCCTAGGGACCTCAGCATCCCTTCTTAGTTCCCTTAACCCTGCCCACAGCTCTGTCAATAGCCCCTTCACTAAACTATTTTCAAAATCTCAACAAATTGGCCTTCTTTTTCCTGCAGGGACCCTGACTGAAACTAAAGAGACAGGATGCAAAAGACCTTAAAATTATGTCTGTGAGGAATAGAGGATGTTGGGCCCAGTGGTGAGAAGACTCAAGAAAGCAGGATAGCCTACTTCGGCAAGGTATCAATAAAAGGCCACCCCAGACTCATTCTCTGGCTCCAACAGTAATAGGTACAGAGAGATACATTTTGGGCTAAATATAAAATAAACCTTTCTACAGAGTAGGTAAAGATGGTTCTCCTGGTAGCAGATATTTTTTATTGCATGAGCTTCAATATTTCTCAGTTGCCCCATCTTAAACCGCATGAGACTATGTCAGGAATGCTGTAAGGAATAAGTTAGAAACACGGTCTAGAAAAGAGATTTCCAAGCCAGGGTTTCATGATTTGCCACCAACTGTACACTACTCAGTGGGTTACCAAAATAACCAATGTGGGGAAACGTTCGTATGTTTTTGCTGCTTCTCGTTTCAATCTAAAGAACAGAAGTCTAGTTCTTCAAGTCTGATAATCCTGAACACTGAAAACGTTTTTATACTTTAAGATGACTTACAAACATGAAACATTTTACACAGCATCACAGCTTTCAAAAGGTTATTTCCAATTCACGGGCAATCTATTAAAAACATTTTTTAGGGGGCAAGAGAAGTTGATTAATGGTTACAAATATACCATTTGATAGAAGACGACCTAGTGTTAGATTGGTAAAGTAACTATATTTTACAATAACCTCTTGTATATTTCAAAATATCTAGAATTCCAGTGGTCTAGCATAGAGAAAAGGCAAATATTTAAGGTGATGGATACCCCAAGTACACTGATTTTGTTAGAGGCATGTGAACCAGAGCAACTCCATCTTGAATGGGGCTAGGTAAAATAAGGCTGAGTGAGACCCACTGGACTGCACTCCCAGAAGGTTAAGGCATTCTAACTTACAGGATGAGATAGGATGTCGGCACAAGATACAGGTCATAAAGACCTTGCTGATAAAACAGGTTGCAGTAAAGAAGTCGGCTAAAACCCAAAACCAAAATGGCGATCAGTGCAGACACTGGTCTTCTGCATTGATACACTCCCACCAGTACCATGACGGTTTACACATGCCATGGCAACGTTACCCTATATGGTCTAAAAAGAGGAGGCATGAATAATCCACCCCTTGTTTAGCATACCATCAAGAAATAACCATAAAAATGGACAACCAGCTTCCCCAGGCTGCTCTGTCTATGGAGTGAGTAGCCATTCTTTTATTCATCTACTTTCTTAATAAACTTGCTTTCACTTTACTGTGTGGACTCATCCTGAATGCTTTCTTGTGTGAGATCCAAGAACCCTCTCTTGGGGTCTGGATTGGGACCCCTTTCCTGTAACAACTTGAGCTTTACAAATTATATGAATGTATTAATCACATGTGCCACAAAACTATGTACATCATGCATCAATTTAAAAAAGTTTAAAACAAAAAATTTTAACTCAGCAACTTCTATCTACACACCAATCTTCTATCTACACATCAGTGCTTCTTGAGAACTGCCACCTCAGTTTTCAAACCAAAAACCAGGACGCAAAATCTGCCCATGGGCAAAAAATATTCTACATGCAAACCACCCTGAAAAAAAAAAAAGAATAAGGTCGCCTCAATTCACTCTGGTAGGGCGGGGGGAGGCCCACGACGATGTTTGTGTCTCACGCAGGTTTTCTCCTTTGGTGGGGGTTTATCGTGTATTACACCGAGGACACGCTAGGTTTGCCAGTTTTTCGCTCATTCATTCAACAAATACTCGATGTCCACCTACTCCATTAACAGGGCCCTTCTCGGCCCTGGGGATGGACAAAAGATCCGAAGAGGCCAACGCCACGACGCCGCTACCAGAGGACGTCAGCAGGTCCAGGAAACGACCTGATTTTAAGGACCAATGAAGTCAACGAGTGAGAGTGACGGCGCCCAGGAAAGTTGCGGCGGAAACTTGGGAAATGCCAGCCTTCGGGCGCAGAGGGCGGGGCAGGGCCTACCGGATCGCGCTGCCTGCGGTCTGGGGCCCCGCCTGGGCTACGGTCCCGCCGCCTCCGGCCGCCAAGCGGCGCCTGCCCACTGCCCGGCGGGGGCGTCGGCCTGGTCTCCGGCCCAGGAGGGCAACGCTGCAAGCGGGCGGGGCGGCCTCGATGGCCCGCGAGCCCCAGGCTCAGTGTGGGGCGCGAGTCGCTCCTGCCCGACGTGCCCGGGAAGCGCGCGCACTCATCGCGGCGCGCTCCCGAACGGCCCCAGCGCCCCGGCCCCTCGGCCCCTATGGCACCCCCCAGCTCCTACCGCCGCCTGGCCTGCCTGGCCGCACTCACCCTCCTTGGCTTTCTTCCTCCGGGCCAGGGTCCCTCCGAGTTTCCCCAAGAAGGAATCATCTTTCTTGCGGGACGGAGGCGACTTAGGAGTGGGGGACTTGGGGACAGAAGGCGACTTCTGCGGGGAGGTGGCCATGGCGCGGCTCAGGCAGCCGCGGGCCGGTCGGGACGCGGAGCTGGCGCTGGGCGGACGCGGCGGGCGGCGGCGGCGGGCTGAGGCTGCGGCTTTCCAAACGGAAGCGGAATTATTCCAAGCATTTGAGGCAGCTCACGCTCGCCTTTCCCTTCCCTCGCTCCCTCCCTCGCTCCCTCCCTCGCACCGCCCTCTGCCCTGGAAGGAGCTGCGCTCCCGGGGCCGCGCCCTGCGCCCCTGGGTTGCCCCAAGCAGGGGGGATGCCCCAAAACTGCCACTTGCAGTACAGGAGGCCGCGTGTGCCCAGGTTGGGAGCGCTCGAGCTGGAAAGCTTCATTTACCCAGGCTCTGCACCCATCACACAGCCTGGGGCAAAGCAAATCTGAGAACCAGCCCAACCCTGCTACTCTCCCAGGGTCTTCCAGCCGGGTCTGGTGAGCTCGCTCTTCCCCAGCACTACTGCCTGTGAAGTTATCAGGCCCACGTCTTGCGCCCACAAGACTGCAGCTCCTGGAAGAAATTACTAGAGTGAACCAAAATGCCTCCAGGCCCCACCAAAGTGGGCAGAACCAATCACTCCTGAACCTATCCATGATAGTCAACCTCCTCTTCTCTACTCCCATCCGAGACTGAGAAGCCTGGAGTGCACGAGGGTAAAGCCGAGGCTGCTTATTGTAAAACATCCGTGTTTCTAGCAGCTTATATAAACGAAGATCACACATGGTGGTGGAAACATGAATGGGAAAAGCACAAGCATGAGCTCCTACAGGACCTCCCCGAGAATTTATCCCGCTAAATAAAATCAAGAGAGTGACAACCAGACTCATTTGAGATAACAGGGGAGTCACACAAAGCACAGTGTTTGAAGGACTCATACTGGAAATGATTAAAAGGCACGTGTTATTGTGCTTGCCCATCTCAAGTTCTCACTCGGGCTGTTTGTCCCTCTGTCTCTCTCACACGCGGACTCACAGCGCCTTGGCAACTGTTTCCTCCTTATGGCCCCTTCCCTCTAGGCTACAGCTGATTGAACCTGGGTGAACAACTAATCCAAAGGGCGCTCCTGCTTTACTGAAGAGCAGCCGATTGGCTAGCCCCAGTTAAGACTCCGCACTAAGCTGGAGAGACTGTTTTCAGAAGTTGTGCTCGTGACTGGTGATCACTCGCAGTCAAGACTGGGGTGGCTGTTTCTAACACGTGCCTGCTGATGAGTAGGGAAACGAAAGGAGCAAAGAAGTGTGCTCAAGAAGCCATTTGGTCTGCCTAATGGAAACCGTGGGGAGTAGCTGCTTGGACCTGGAATGTTTTCCCAGACCCCACTTGCGCTTCCTGCCAAGGCCAGCTGTGCTTCTTCCCAGGAGCTGTTACTCAGCCTTTTATTAACCCATCCACCTTACCTTAGACTAAATAAACTGACAAGCAACAGTTTCTGAGTAGAACTAAAATTTAACAAACAAGACAGTCAATAGAGTCTCAACACTGTATAGGTTCATTTTATCTTTGCTTGAGAGTCATAATTTTACTTTTTTTTTTTTTTTTTTGGAAAATTCTACTTTAGTTGGTGCCTCTTACCTAACAGCAGAAAAGTCACGATGCCCGCTAGCCTGGGAGGATTACTACAACTCCTCCTCCCAGACAATAAATCTTAAAGGGATGGTGAGAACCCAAAATAGAAGTGTGTTTTGCTTACATCATTAATCATTTTCATTCAGGATATCAGATGTAGGACATCTTCAAAAGTGTATCTCCAGCACCTGGAGCTCTTGTCAGGGAATTAAGAGACACATAGCTCAATAGCTGTGTGGTCTTGGAAAGGTTTACTCCCTTTTCTGAGTCTCCATTTCCTCATCTACAAAATGAAATGGTTGGTACAGAATGGTGGTTCTCAAACTTGATTGTGCATCACAGTCCCCTAGAAGTTTGTTACATTCACAGGCCCCATCTCCAGAATTCTGATTCAGTAGATCTCAGGTGAAACCAAGGGATAGGTGTTTAAACGGACTCCATCAGGTGATTTCGATGTACTAATAGCTGATTCACACACTGATGTCTTGCCATTTAGGGCTACTTTCAGCTCTAACAGTTTGTGGTTCTTGATTCTTTCAAAAATTGCTAATTTCTGTATGCAAGACTTAGTCTTAAATATGGCATAATCAAAATTACCCATGGAGATTCCTTCAATTGCCCATGCATGCTTTTACATATATAATACTCCTCAGTAATTGTTATGTTCATTAAACTTTGAAAACCACTGAGCAAGGCTAAAAGGAAGGGTAAAGTCTTGATTGTTGAATGCTAGCTCCCAGAAAATATCAGCAAAATAAGCTGTGGAAGAAGGCAAAGCTGAATTTTTTGTATACCATGATAAGAAGAGCCCTGCCTTGGCAGAGTCTCAGTAGCATCTGGGAGTAGGGGAAGGGATATTTATAAGGTTTTGGAATCTTGATGAAGACAGGCCTTTCAGTGGGATGGTGCTTGATTAAGTTTGACTAAGGATCATGATATGATTAGGACTGGTAAACCCAAGGCAAAGCTTTCCAAGATTCTTGGAGAGTAAATAGTCTTTTTAATGCTATCTATTAAAAAGTGTAACGGGTTTATGTTCATTTCAATGAGATTTGGTGGGAAGTTCTTGAAAAGAACAGGAAAGTTATTCATAGCTTTTATCTTCCTGGGCAAGAAATATTTGGAAGACAGGGGAATGATAAAGTCCTGTTAATGTATGCAATAACCTGCATTGGTGGGAATGGTTTCCAAGGTCTCATTACTATGCCGATATCTTGTTATTCAAGCATTTCTACTGGTAAGATCATTATCAATCTTTCTGGAAAGGCCAGTGGGAATGGGTGGTGAATTATAAATCAGTGCTACTCACAGTGTAGTCTGCAAACCAGTATTGATCTGGATACCATTATTAGCTGCCAAGACCAGCTCGGTCGGGGAGACCCTAACCCAGCGGTGCTAGAGGAATTAAAGAGACACACACAGAAATATAGAGGTATGAAGTGGGAAATCAGGGGTCTCACAGCCTTCAGAGCTGAGAGCCTCAAAGATTTACCCACATATTTATTAATAGCAAGCCAGTCATTAGCATTGTTTCTATAGATATTAGATTAACTAAAAGTATCCCTTATGGGAAACAAAGAGATGGGCCAAATAAAGGGATGGGTTGGGCTAGTTATCTGCAGCAGAAGCATGTCCTTAAGGCACAGATCACTCATGCTATTGTTTGTTGTTTAAGAACGCCTTTAAGAGGTTTTCCACCCTGGGTGGGCCAGGTGTTCCTTGCCCTCATTCTAGTAAACCCACAACCTTCCAGCATGGGTGTTATGGCCATCATGAACATGTCACAGTGCTGCAGAGATTTTGTTTATGGCCAGATTTTGGGGGGCCTATTCCCAACAATTAGCCAATCTAATAATAAAAATCAGGAGCATATATTTTGAATATCTTTTCATTCTATTTTTCTAGTAATTTTTATTTTTATTTTACTTACAAAAATATTGCTCTATGATGAATTGGTCCTTTAGCAGATTGTTTGAGAAGCACTGTTCTACTTTGCTCCTGTTTACTTACAGAGTTCATCTACTCTCATTTGATATAATGCTTTTAGAATCCTTAAGAATGCAAATTGATCTGTTTTTTGTTTGGAAGATTAAATGAGATCATCTATGGGAAAGCACCATCTACAGGGCCTGGCACTGAGGTAGGCTGAATCTAAATCTTACTTAGTCAGAGACATGCTGCATGCTATTCTTTGATAGGATGAGAAGACCTTGTACCAGCTCCCTCCAATCTAAATTGGTATTTACAATTATGTCCCCACTGAACAGCACCCTCTCTCATGCTTGGTCATTGTTTTCATCTTACACAAGGGGTTTGATTATAAGGACAGATCATCAATTAAATGTGTGATGTGTAAGACTCTGCTGAATCTCTAGGCTGCCTCTTCTTGAAATTGGGGCCTAGACAAATGCACTGGAAGAGAATAAAGTCAGGTTCCAATCTTAGCTCAGCAGTCAGGTGATCTTGGATAAATCTCTTCCCTTTCTGCATTTATTTTTCCCATCATCTATAAAAAGAAGCCAAGGCAGTACCTACTAAAGCCAACCATCATACATACCTTATGATCAACAATTTCAATTATGGATTATACCCAACAAAAATGAGTACATGTGTACACACAGATATAGGCTCTAGAAAGTTCACAGCAGCACCATTCAAGTGCCTGCTAACAGTTGAATTGATTGTGATAACCACAGCAATGAGAGTGAACAATTTGCAACTACAAGCAGCAATAGGAATGTATCTCACAATATAATGTTGAGCGAAGGAAACCAGACACAAAAGAGCACATACTGTATAATTCTATTCACATAAAGTTCACAAACAGGCAAAACTACTCTATAATGTTAGAAGTCAGGATATTGATTAGCCTTGGACGGTATAGTGACTAGAATGGGATGGGCGGCATGAGGGAGACCACTGGAGCTGATAATGTTCTGTTTTCTGATCTGGGTACTGGTTACATGGACATACTCACTTTTAAAATCAATGGGACATACAAATAGTACTTTCAGCAAATTTTCTGTATGTATTTTATACTTCAATAAAAATCTACAGCTGGGCATGGTGGCTCACGCCTGTAATCTCAGCACTTTGGGAGGCTGAGCTGGGCGGATTGCCTGAGTTTGGAGTTCAAGGCCAGCCTTGACAACATTCTACTATGCCCTGCCCCCAGAGGTGGAATCTACAGAGGCAGTAGGCCTTGCTGAGCTGCAGTGGGCTCTGCCCAATTCGTGCTTCCCAGCCTCTTTGTTTACACTGTGAGCTACTAAAGCCTCAGCAATGGCAGACAGCCCTCCCTCCGCCAATCTGCAGCGTCGCAGGTCAATCTCAGACTGCTATGCTAGCAGTGAGCAAGGCTCTGTGGGCATGGGGCCTGCCAAGCCAGGCATGGGAGGTTATCTCCTGGTCTGCCAGTTGCTAATACTGTGGGAAAAGCACAGTATTTGGTCAGCAGTGTACCATTTCTCCAGGTACACAGCCTGTCACAGCTTCCCTTGACTAGGAAAGGGAAGTCCCCTGACCCCTTGTGCTTCCTGGGTGAGGCGACGCCCTACCTTGCTTCAGCTCACCCACCATGAGCTGTACACACTGTCCAACCAGTCCCAATGAGATGAACCAGATACCTCAGTTTGAAACGCAAAAATCACCTGTCTTCTGTGTTGATCTCACTAGGAGCTGCTGACCAGAGCTGTTCTTATCTGGCCATCTTAAAAGCACCTTTTTTTTTTTTTTTTTCTTTAGACTGAGTCTCACTCTGTCGCCCAGGTTGGAGAGCAGTGGCATGATCTTGGCTCACTGTAACCTCCACCTCCTGGGTTCAAGCGATTCTCCTGCTTCAGCCTCCTGAGTAGCTGGGATTACAGGCGCACACCATCATGCCTGGCTAATTTTTGTATTTTTAGTAGAGACAGGGTTTCACCATGTTGGTCAGGCTGATCTCAAACTCCTGACCTCGTGATCCGCCTGCCTTGGCCTCCCAACATGCTGGGATTACAGGCATGAGTCATTGGGCCCGGCCAAGCTATTAGTATGTCATTTGAGACTCGTGCATGATATTATCATCACCACCATTTTATGGACAAGTAATTCAAAACCCAGAATTTAAATCATGGGCTAGAGATCACATGTGGCCAATAACTTAGAGACTAATACTAAAGCTTTCAGGATCTGTTCTCTCAAATATTATAGGATCCATACTTTTTAACTAAGATTATCATCCTTCAGAATAAAGACTATATTTTTCAGCTAGGTGTGATCACATGGCCAAATTCTGACCAACAGGATGTAAGCAAGAGTGTCATGTGGCAGCTTCTAGGAACTGTCCTAAAAACATAGATGGGAAATGGATAGCCAGCTTCTCATATTATCAGACTATATAATCTAGGTCAACTCTCCCACTGAGAACAAATGGAAAAGCTGGACAACATGAAAAAAAAAAAAAAAAAAAAGCACTGGAAAGCAAATGAAACTCACAGGGCTGAGATCTTGGAAAAGAAAAAAAATCCCCAGAGAGGAAAACCTGCTGCTTTGGGCTCACTTTTCCCTTAGGGACATCTGTTAATTTCAGATGAAGCAGTCAGAGAGGGGGAGAAGTTGTGCCAACCTAACAAGGACAAGTAGAAAAAAGTTCAGGCACCACCCAAATGGGTGAACCCCCAGCAAGCCCTCCAAAAGAGTCCACTCTCCGGGTGCAATGGCCCATGCTTGTAATCCCTGCACTTTGGGAGGCCAAGGTGGGAGGATCACTTGAGATCAGAAGTTCAAGACCAGCCTGTCAACATACCAAGACCACCCCTGACCCTCTCTAACAGAAAAAAAGAAAAAAAGTTAGCCAGGTGTAGGAGCGCATGCCTGTAGTCCCACCTACTCCAAAGGCTGAGGTGGGAGGACCTCTTGAACCCAGGGGCTCGAGGCTGCAGTGAGCTATGATCACACCACTGAGCACCTGGGCAACAGAGCAAGACTCTGTTTCTAAAAAACAAATGAACAAACCCGGAAGAGCCTACTCTAGTAGACAAGGAGATCATAAAAATATTTTCAGTTAAAAAAAATACTGAGAAAAAAATACTAATAGTTGATCCAAACAAGAGGAAATACTGAAGTGAATGGCAGAAGGAAAATCATCCCAAGTGAGGGTAAGTATATGGGTAAGCCTAAAAGCCTATTCACTATACAAAACAATAGAAATAATACAGGATTTAAAAATGTAAATCAAATTAAAATACACAAGAGCAGAAGCATTCAAATCAGGAAGCAAATACATGGAGTTAAGTGTTTTAAGATCCAGGCATTGTCTGGGAAGAAGTAAAAGTAGCAATTTCTACTGGACTGTGATAAATCCAAGATTATGTTGTAATCTCTAGGGTAACCATTAAAGGAATAATAAAAGAGTAACTATAAGTACCAAGATAATGGAAAGAAAATTGGAGTCTAGGTGCTCCATTCAGATTTCATAAATTACATGTGATCTATATCTGTCATATAGAAGGAAGCTTTTCTTTTGTATTCTGTTATCTATTTATTTTACTGGGTTGCTTTTTATTGAATAGCTTAAAAACCCAGGATAGAGGTAAACCAATCATATCAAAGCAAATTAAGGCAAAATTCAAGCCCAAAGTGACTTTCACTAGGAAAAGATATTCTTCCTAAATGTGAAGGCCATCTGTTATGGGTTGAATTGTGTCCTCTAAAAAAGATATGTTGAAGCTCTAACTCCCAGTGCTTCAGAATGGGATCCTGGAAGTAGGGTCACTGCCAATGTCATTCGTTGTTAAAAGTTGTATTTAGGTCATACTGGAATACGGTGGGCACCTAATCCAATGAGACTTGTATCTTTCCGGGAAGAGGAAAATATGGACACAGACATGCACAGAGGGAATGTGATGCAAAGATACAGGAAGAAGATGGCCATTGGAGTGATGCAGCCACAAGCCAAGGGATGTCTGGGACTTCCAGAATGTGGAGGAGGAGACGAAGAATCCTCCCCTAGAGTCTCAGAGGGAACATGGCTCAGCAGACACCTTAACTTTGGATTTCTAGTCTCCAGGACTGGGGGATAATAAATTTCTACTGTTTTAAACCTGCTGTACTTTGTGGCAGCAGCCCTAGGAGTCTCTCACTCTTCCAGATCACACTGACCTCGGAAAGGATCAGGGAGAGGAAAATCAAGAACTCGGTGTCATCTCAATGGCCTGGGATGTGGACCATACACCATCTAAGGGACAAAATGGCACCCCCTGCAGACCAAGATGAGGGTTTTACAAAAGCTCTGGGTCCCAATCAATAATCAGAGTTATCTGACCACAGCAAAGCAGGATGGGGAAGAGAGAAGCCAGCCAGAGCCTCTTGGGGATCTCTTTGATCACTGCAAGCAAGGTGTGCTCTTAGGATGAAAGGAATGTGTGAGAAATGAAATGCCTGTGGAGTGGGGGTCTTAAGGGACAAGCCTCACTGCGTGTCCCCCTTGGGAACTCTGGGATATTAGTGGTGGCCTTTGAAGGTCAGCCTGCTGGTGAGCATGTCCTCCAGGAGTTCTACCTGCCTGGGTGAAGGCTGTCCAGGTGGCAGGGATGGAGTGCGAGAATAAGACTTCTCTTGCTGGGCAGGGAAGTCACAGGACAGGAGGAAGTTGGACAACCTCAGCCTTAGTTGGCAACAGGGTGGAGTGAGGGCAGGGCTGTTTTTGAGAATCACACAGGATGATGCCACTCAAATAGTCTCTGATTCAGCCGGGGGGAATGAGTCCAAAGTTCTTTGAGACAGATGACCTGCTCACCTACCCTTCAGGAGTAATAATGAACTATAGACAGTTGTGGAGAGATTTTCTCACCTGAGCATGATAGCTGAGGGCCAGCTGCAGAAGTGAAGCCCTAAAATCAGTAGTTCCTCCTTGGGTAATCTCACAGAGCAATGAAGAACACACAGGTAAACAGGAGCACAGCAACGCTTTTAAGGGCAGAAAGCAGTAGGTATGAGCCACTGCAGACCCAGCCAGGCAAGAGGGAATACCTGGGGCCCCAGTGATTATACTGGTGTGTGGTCCATGTCCCAGGCCACTGAGATGATACCCACGGTCTTGATTTTCCTCTCCCTAATTCTTTCCTAGGTCAGTGTGATCTGGAGGAGTGAGAGACTCCGCTTCCATCTTTTTGGAGGGAGATGTTATAGCTATTCAGACGTTTGATGTTTCCTTTTAGGGAGGAAGGTTGGAAGTATTATATCTAACAATGAAATGGAACCAAATCACCAAGGCCAGATGTTGTCTGCTGGAAACACTAAAGGGTATACTTGAAGAATTGGCCAAAGAGCCGTGCAAGGGGCTGGACATCCAGTCAGCAGAGGGCAGTCCAAAGAGATGGTCTCCAAAGAGATTCCATGAGCACTCTAGTGAGTCAGACGAAATCAGAGAGGTAGCAGAGTTCTGAGGAGTGAGTTTCCTGGCCTAGTTCACCTGGTAGGTGAGAAGAGCTGAGTTCACAGTAGCTGTTACCATTATCCAGGTCAGAAGGGCTGGGCAAAGGGCACTGTGATGTTTGGTTTTGCTTTCTTTTATTTCTAAGTGAACTGGGAGAGGAAGAGAGCGTGAAATTACCAAGTGTGCCCTGAAGGCTCAGAGACGGTGAGTTGCCGCAGTGGCTGAGAGTCTGCAGCTCTGGGAGCATAAGGAGGTCAGCTGAGCCCCAAGGAAAACTTGCAAAGCGCCATCAGAGGTAGCTGTTGCTTGGAGCTTTTCACTGCACACATTAGTGCTGGTAAAACAGGAGCTCTCATCTGCAGTTATGTGTATTTGCTGTTGATGTCCAATGGAAAAATAAATCATTTCAAATATTTGATCAGCAGACAAAAGCTTTCAAACAAAGGGGGCACCTTCATGTGGAATGATGGGAGCTTCTAGGACTGACGGGTTGATTACTGTGATGTGGCAATTCTGGTGTATCCTGCACTCATAGTTTAAGAATACGCATGTTCTGGGGTTAAGAAAAGAGGTAAAACGAACAAACTAAAAGAGTGTGACTTGAAGGAAGAGGCTAGTTCTGCGCAGAAGGAAACATTCCTGTTGAGTGAATTAAATGCAAAACCAGGTGAGGGAAAGGTGAGAGAAAGGGGGAGCCTGGGGCTACCATAAGCCTCATCCCTCCCCTTCCCCAGCCTTGAAAACAGCTTTCTTTGTTGAAGGAATACACCTGAGGTGAGCCTTCTTCGCTCCTCCTCCCATTCAAATCCAATTTGCTGGTCAGGTAAGTCCTTCCAGATGCCCTGTGGTAATAAAATCTCCTGGGTTAATTAACAGACTCCCACACAAAATCAAAGCCTTGCCCAGGCTCTTTCACTGAGAAGAAATAAATGAAATGGATGCTGCCCTCAGAGGTGCCAAACCAAGCCCACATGAAAATGTTTTGATTTCTGAGACACAAAACCATTTATTTTTGGTTCATTTCAGTATCTATAGCAGTGCACAAATAACACATTTCCATCCACATGAATAGTTCCCAATTGTTGGAGCAAATTAATCTTTTACAAGCTACTCAGCAGTGAGGTTAGAAGATAAACAGTAGATGAAATCGTACACTTTCCCCTGTATGTGAACTTTCTTATTACAATAAACTCCTACATTTGAGCTCACCACATCCAATGACTGCCGCTCTCTGTTCATGTGGCGGCCCCGGCTGCCCCCTGCCACCTCTGCCCTACTGGGGTAGTTCTCTGATCAACCACCTGGGTGGGGCATGCTGCCATTTTCAGTTTGGAAGGAAAAGCCTGTAAATCTGCTTCCTGGGAAGAGAGACACTGCTGAATTGTCATTTGCCTCCAGAATGCAGAAAACATCAATTTCATTGCAGCTCATCAGGGCTGGAAACACCTGCCACTTCCTTTCTCAGTTGCAACTAACATGGTGCATCTTGGCATTGATTGATTCCAAGCAGCCTAACACTGCCAAAGTCAAGGTTTAAATGAAACAGTACAACCTGATATTATTTTTCAGTTTTAGAAACTCAAACTTATTTTTATTGCCAAAGAAGCACTGTGATAGTGGGGGATATTCTTTATGCTTGATAAACGTGAGTAGAATAGGTTGATGCTCATAATAAAAAAAGATTTTTCATCTTTGTATTTGGGGATGGTACCTATTGCTTGATCTTTGTATTTATTTGGAGGTGGAGTTAAGGACTAATATTCTTTCTGTATCTCAGCATCTGGCACAGGGCTGCAGAACCCCATGGGCATTCAGAGGATGTTAAATAAATAGACCAATAAATCAATGGTTTGGGACAGCAAGCTTAAGAAATGTCCTCTTGGCCCAACTTAGGTACAATTCTGACCTTATAACTATCATAAACACTTTGATTTAACTGAGAAACTGTGTGAGACTGACTGTGAAATATGACCAGAGCCTGGGCTTTCTGTCCCATTTGGAGTCCTATATAGTTTGGCCTTGATCACATTCACTAGTGCCCTTTTATGGGGCAGTGCAGACTCTGTGCATTTTCATCATAATCCTACTCATATTGCATACAAAGAAACTGTCTTCAAAATGTACAGTATTTTACACTTTGAGAGTCTTAGAACGCTCTCTTGCAAATAAGGAATGGAATCACTTTAGATAGTTCAACAGACACAATATTTGTGTCCATTGGAAATGTTGAAATGGTTTTTATGTACTAGTAAAACAGAAAGACCAGTGTATGTAGAAAACTGTTAAGGATCAAGTTTATGTTTTAACTTGGCCAGATAAAACTGAGCCATAAACCACAGAGCCCAGCCTGTGAAAGAAAGTGAACAAATTGCTTCTCTCATCTATTAACAGAATACTAGGGGCCAAACCACCTTCTCTGTTGGCCCTCTTGGGAGACTCATTCTTTGGGATGGAAATATAACAAATTAAAATAAGTGGCAATTAATTCTCTTGCACAATAACAACTCAAATATGACACACTTTGAACATCATCTGTTAAATGTATGCAAGCATCAAAGGATGCACTTTTATGCAACTGACAGAAAAGCCTGAGGTCTGAATATTTCTGCATATTCTAGAATGAAAACTGAAATTATAAATCTTTTTCTTATAATGAGTTGATATTCCTGTGCATCTATAATCTTACCTCTAAATGCCTGATAGCTGAAATCTTTAATACTATACAACTCACTGCCCCAAACATCTGGGTTATTTGTATATTAAATAGCTTATGTACCAATTTCTTAGTGCTAATAGGTCTTCTCCAAATTATAACACCTGGAAACCTGAATTATGAGGAAATGATGGTATCAATTATCACCAATACACAAATAAATAAAAATAGATAAATATCCCGAAGTGGTACAGTTTTCATAGGTAGGTAGGTAGGTAGTAGGTAGGTGCCTCCTCATATTGCCTAATAATAGAATTCGGGCACTGGAAGACCTGATTCTTATTTTAAAAAAAAAAGGGGGAGAAGGAAGGAAAGAAAAGGAAAAAGAACTGCAACCTTTGGAACTTGGTATAACACAGAAAGGATGTACTTAAATGTAACCCAAAGCATTGGCTAACTCAGAGGAAATTCAGTTATACATCTAATTTCTGGCTTGTCAGCTGGCCAGATTGGTGTGCGCAGAGAGCGTCTCTGACAGAAGTGGTTCATGGATCGATTTGAGAGAAATCTGGTCTCCAGTCAGAGCCAACTGTTGAAGAGCACCTTTTGTCTAATGACACATTTAAACACTTGCCGAAATGAGGGCAGCCAAATATACAACCAAGAGTTCTTTAGTGTTTCTCTTATCAATAATAGACTAAATCTTCAAAGAATCCCATTGAGCAAAAACAATCAAATGTTTTATGACAACACATCACCATATTAAATCTTCTCTTCTTTGGCCCCCATGGGAACTGTCATAATGCCCCAGGAATTCCAACATGTCAGCACACAAACTCCATCTTCCAGCTTTCTTTTCAAACTGAAATGTCATTAAAAAAATCCATGACCCAGTTTGGGATTTGGTAAATAGGGTTACTGCATTCAGCCTTCCCTCTAAGTCAGAAGTGGTTTTGTCCTTGCTCTGTAGAGTTCCTGGGGAGAGGGAGAGATACTTCTCTCTTTGAGTCTAAGAAGACCAGCAGCAAGAAGCATTCCTTCTCTTGTACCCTAGTGTGCTCAGTTTCGGTAGCAGCACCAATATCATCAATATTTTATCAACAAATAAAAGAAATTCCCTTTTTTTTTTTTTTTCCATCATCAACACTTACTTAAAAAGTACTTTAACATCATTCTCTTTCTGAAAATGCTTTTTGTTATTTTCCAGGGTCCATAAAAAGCATAGCATGGGGAAAAAAGCTTTTCTAAGCCAGCAGTGTTTGGTGAACACTAACAATCCCACTGGTATAAAGTTAAAGTTTTATTTCCCTTTTTCTTTTCTTCTTAAAATAAAATTAAGGCTCAAATGTTCTATTAAGCTCTCATTGCTTATGTATATTATATTAAGGCTTATAAATGCACCTGGTAAATGACATTCACCCTGGATTGAATTAACACCTGCCATATGAGTTATTTGCTTTATGTAATCAGTAATCTCAAGGTTTCTCCTCTTTCTCTGGAAACACAATTTAAATATTAACCTAATCTTTAAACTGCGGCTGCTTCTTTCTGACATTTGGAAACCGGTCATCCATACAAAAAAGGCAAATATGGATATATTAATGAAAAGGCAGCTTCTCAAAAATCTTAAAGTATGTAACTCAATGAATTGGGAAGGAAAATGATAAAAGCAGCAGGAAAGTCAAGTCTTTATGTCACTTTCTAGGGAAAACAATGCTGGTCATCTGCCAACAACACCTCCAGTCTGAGAGCCTGGCTGAAGTTGACTGCCAATTGCCAAAGAGTTTTTGGGTTTTCTTCATTATAATCTCTGGAAGGACCTTGGGAAGCTGCCATGCGTGCAAGAGAATTTTAATTTTAAAAAATGCAGTAGGGTATAACTTAAGTTCCAGGGATGATAAATCCTGCAGAAGGACCCACGAGGGTGTGTGGTGAACTTGGCCTGATCCAGTCCCAATGTGCAGCCAGGGAGAGGGACTACGGGCCTCCTCAAGTCCTGCTAAGCTGACAGCCGCCTCTGGAGAATACGAAGCTTTCAAAGTGCTGGTCCTCGGCTTTTTCTCTGACGCGTTGCTCCTCTAAGGAATCAACGAGTTTATTCCTTTGCTCAATCACTTGCATCAGCTCGGTGAATATTTCTTGCTCTTCATTTAGATCCTTCTCATCTTTCTGGCTCTCTAAAGAAAAAAAGGAAAAACAACATTGGGCTCAGGGAAGATTGGGCCCCAGGAGAGTTCTTGGCATGGACATTCTCAATTGTTATGGACTTATTCTGCCTTTAATTTTAATGGAGAAAACAAGGAAATGAATTTAACACCAAGGAACTGCCCTTAAAGCGAGAGATGAGAAAGGTGGGTGTGGTGAAGCAGTTCACTCAGTTTTCATCTTGAAGATATGTACAAAATGACAGGGAAAACCCCTTTGTAACAAAAAGAATTTAATACCACCAAACCCTATCAAGTCCCCCAACCTTCCCTCTGCCCCAAAGAGAAACTAACAAAACAACAAAAAGGTGGTTCCCATAAACATATCTGAGCCACAGCAAAGAAATCTGTGAGAAGTTTCTAAGTAAACCAGCTGCACCAGTGGCTACTCTTTCAATGACCAGAAATTTTTTTTTCTTTTTTTTTTGAGATGGAGTCTCACTCTGTTGCCCAGGCTGGAGAGCAGTGGTGCGGTCTCAGGTCACTGCAACTTCCACCTCCCAGATTCTCCTGCCTCAGCCTCCTGAGTAGCTGGGATTACAGGCGCCTCCCACCACGCCTGGTCAATTTTTTGTATTTTTAGTAGAGACAGTGTTTCACCATGTCGGCCAGGCTGGTCTTGAACTCCTGACCTTGTGAGCAGCCCACCTAAGCTTCCCAAAGTGCTGGGATTACAGGCGTGAGCCACAGCGCCCAGCCAGAATCTTTTTCATGTTTAGTTAATGACAAACTGTAGCCTTTTGTATAGGGACCGCAGGGAAGCAAAGTGAGGCTACAACTGTCTGATAGAAAGGTGTTTCCACACTGACTTTGCTTTTCCCTTTGTCTTCTCGAGTACCTGACCTTCTTGATAATTGGCCTGAGGCATTCAGTTGCCTGGGGGAGATAGGATTGTTAGAAAATGAAGAGAGTAGGAAACAAGTAGTAATGAGTTTGGCCACAGAACACAGGATTCTGAAGCCAGATTTAAGTCTTGTCAAGCAGATGATTGCCTTAGGAGAAGTCTTTCTAAATTCCTAGAGCCCTCTGTCTAACCCATGGAGGACTGGGTGAGGAGCCTTGTCCCAGAGAAGAGAGGGTACCACTGTCCCTCATCAGGCTTAGCTCTGAGGTCTGGGCCAGGGAGCAGGTAGGTCTGATGAAAGGGAGACAAAGAAACACCACCCCTTTGCACCTCAAGTTTTAAGCAGAGAGAAGAGAGAAGCAGGAGGGGCAGAGGATTAGAGCCCCATGCTCGGTCTCTCCATTCTGGGCCTTGGAAGCCCCACAGGGGGCAGGAAATGTCATATCTCATTTGATGGGAATAGTGGGAGTGGGAGATGGATGGGCACAGGACTCTTGCCCTGCCCTTGTTCAGAATTCTGGAAAGAAGCCAGCTTAAAGGGCACCCCTATGTATAAACATAGGACAGTACTTCATGGTTGGGCAGAGAAGAAGGGTCTGAGTGTGGCCCCCCAGATCTTGGTGTGCTGTATGTGGCATGGTGGAGCCTAGAAGGGTACACTTGCCCACTGATACCAAAGACAGCTGGCTGGTGGACCTGCCACAGGGCTCCCCCATGGGGGAAAGTGACCACACAGGAGAAACTGTCTGGCCGCACTGAATGGGAGATGTGCTGAAGTGAGGCTGGGTGAGCCAGGAATGCCTGTAGGCACCCAGGCATGCTGAGAGAGTGGGCAGGCTACGGATGAGACCAGCATACACCTCAGCTGCAGATGCCACAGAGAGAGTTGCAGCCCAATGGTGGGGGATGCCATGTGGGGACTCACTAAGCAGAGCACTCCACACAAAGTCCTAATGCCACAAGGTCACACAGACCTGCCTCTTCCCATTACCTGCCAGTCACCCTGGGGAGAGACGCAGAAGGGAGGGGTGGCATCTTCAAGACTGCACATTTTCATCCCAAAGAGACCGAGCATCTCCTACAAGGACTGTTTAAGTTATTGCATCAGATTAAGTTTACCATGGAGGGATAAAGAGTTCCTATTTTTTTCCCTTGCTAATTAGTGGGAGGATGCGTAGGCGGAAGATGAGCTCAGGTACAGACAGAATAAAGAAACTACATTTTTTGGATACATCTGAGAGGGGTGAGGGAAACATATGACCTTCACTCCTTAGTAAGAATTTTTTAAAAAAGAATCAAAGGTGGCAAATAGTCTTTGGTGGTATTTATTTAGTATCCTGAAACAGAACAAATTAAACTTTTCAAATCTGATATACAAGTTAGATATCAGTTAGACTCTATGGTTTATTAAGACCAGGATTACCACTCATTTAATAAACAGCACAGAAAAATTTAAAAAAAAATCCTCTCTCAGTTTAGGCTTGTTGTGGATGGACCCATCTAAGCTCCTCTGACATATAAAAAATGATTTATACCACTTTAGTCTGTACAGTGCTGCTGCATACGGATTTCATTAGAGTTCTGTTGCTCTAAAGAAACAGCCTGCAAATCACTGCCATATGGGAAAGAACAGGAGACCCTGATCTGTGATCTATTCCTAAATCTTAGCCCTACCATTCACCTTGAGCATGTTATTTAAATTCTCGGAGACTTGGTTTTCTAATTTGTAAAACTGGGCACAAAAATACGTAAATAAAAATCAGGATAATGATGCCTAATATTTGCTCAGTACTTGCCCTGTACTGGGCAACCTCATAAGGTAGGTGCAGTATGATATCCATGAAGTATAGACATTCTTTAAGTTGTTCTTTTAGATCTAGGTCTGAATATAGGAAAGTCATGCGTGGATCTGGCACTGCAAACACACAGGCACAAAACAGTGAATATGCCTTTCTGGCGGGAACTAATAACTGCATACAGCAGTGTATGATGTCAGTTGGGTTTATCTTCACTCTCCCTCCTTCCTGGTGGAATCATTTTCTCATGTGTGATGCCCTGGACCTGCCCACGCTGGGAGGGAATGTTTCCTTTACCAGCTCTAGTGCCTGGCAGCACTAGACCCGCCTTTCTCTGTGATCCCAAAGCCCTTCTGTTGTGGCCTTCATCTCACTGAACTAGCATTACTGGACTGCGGGTGTTAGTCTCCCCAGTGAGACCACAAACTCCTAGAGGGCAGGGGTTGCTCTTCATCATAAACCAGGCCCACAGTTCCCAGTAAATGTGTGTTAAATGAATGGGTGGATACGTGAATGAATAAGCGAACACAGGACTTTGTTCCTACTGCCACATGTGATGGGGGAAAGCACTGCCCTCACAGCCCAAGTGAATGAGGCTAAACGGGGCTTGTGGTGCTGCTGGTGGGAGGCAGGCTGGCTTTGCACTTTCCTTTGACTCGCAGGCTGGCAGGCAGGAAGAGCACCCCACTCTGGGATTTGTGGCACACTCTTGCTCAAGAGCCTTTCAGGGTGAAAGTTCTGAACAAGGACCCAAGACATCAGCATACTTACCCTCCTTGAGCATTTTCTCTCTCAGTTTCTGCTCCAGTCTGCTTTGATGATCTTCTAATTCTAGTTCCTGGGCCCTGGGTGATAAAATGTTAAACTTTAAAAACACTGTAGATTTGTGAGGAAACATTGATGAATAAGCGCATTGAGAGTAGCTACAACATTCTTTTTTCCTTATTAAAACTGGAGTTTTAGCCTATCTTTATTTTTTATTACAATTATTATTGTTTTGAGACCGAGTCTTACTCTGTCATCTGGGCTGGAGTGCAGTGGCGCCAGCTCACTGCAACCTTCGCCTCCTGGGTTCAAGTGATTCTCCTGTCTCAGCTTCTCAAGTAGCTGGGATTACAGGCGTGTACCACCATGCCTGGCTAATTTTTTTTTTTTTTGAGATGGAGTTTGCTTTTTTCACCCAGGCTGGAGTGCAATGGTACAGTATTGGCTCACTGCAACCTCCATCTTCCAGGTTTAAGCGATTCTCCTGCCTCAGCCTCCCAAGTAGCTGGGATTACAGGCATCTGTCACCCAGCTAATTTTTGTCTTTTTAGTAGAGACAGGGTTTCACCCTGTTGTCCAGGCTGGTCTCAAACTCCTGACCTCAGGTGATCTGCCCTCCTCTGCCTCCCAAAGTCCTGGGATTACAGGCATGAGCCACTGCACCTGGCCTTAGCCTGTCTTTAAACTGAAGGTTCTGCTGCTGCTGGGATCTCTGTAGGTACCTGGAAAGATTGCTGAGATACACTGAACTCAAGAGACCAGGGGGAGCAGCTGAAGGCTGCAATGTGCTCTCAGTAGGCTTCGGAAGGTCATCCAGACCACCCTTTAGGGATGGGGTGGGGATGAGGAGAATAGTGAAGAAATGACTAGCATAGGCCCGGGGAGAAGCAATGACAATCAAAAGCTTTTCTCTCTTTTAGGAGTAACTTGACTTAGAGCATTATGCCCAAGTCTCTGACTGTGGTACATGAGAAAACAAAATGGAGGAAACAAAAGTGACATATTTTGTTTGGGTGGGGTGAGGACCTTAAAACTCAAGCAACTCTCCAGCTGGCTGTAGGAGAGGTGGCGTCAGTGATGCTTTGGGGTAGACAAGCTTGGGTGCTGGGGCCTCAGCATTTCCACTGAGAGGAGCAGCAAAGTCAAGAAATGAAGTGAGTCCTCGGTGAAGGTGGAACTTAATGTTTTCCATGCTGGGGGATGCTCCATTGATATCACCGTGGGTGTGTGAGCTCCCCACAGGCTAGCCCATGTGGTAATGTGGACACTCCCCAATGCCACTCTGGAGTTCTCAGGAGAACTGAGGACCACACACAGATGTGGCAGTGGTCAGAGGTGAGAGTTGAAGTTGTGTGATCCCTAAAAGGAAGGCTATAGAGAAAGAAAGTTTGAAGACAGAAGCCTGGAAATACCTACACTTAGAAGCCAAACAAAAAGGTAGCCAGGGAAGAAGTCATCCAAAGTTTGGAAGAACAAAACAAGAAATGCACCATCACAGAGACAAGCAAGGGATGTTTTGAGAGAAAAGAGAAAGGTCAAGGGTGTTCACTGCAACAGAGACTTGAAGAGGGTGAGGGCTGAGATTAGATCCCTGGGTTTGACCTGGTGGGGTCTTCTCTTCCAGCCTCCACCTGCCATCTGCAGGTGTATCATGCATCGCCCCTATGAGTGCTGGGGTCACTTTGTTATACCCTGTTACCGGCGTTATTTTTACTACATCTGCTACTACATGGGCCAAGGTCCCTGCTTCTTGTTATCTACCCTGAACTTCTTGTGGCCCACTGTGGTAGTCAATGGAGATGGACCAGTCAGATCTTCCTTTCAGAGAACTTCTGGGAGAAGCATAGTGAACTCACTGCTGCAAGATCCACTTCCATGTCATGCAGACCGAGCACAGAGGAGGTGTTGCAGTGGCCCTGTTCCTGCCCTGCATGGAATTCCTCGATGGGCAGTCTTTGCACTGATGTTCCCATTGACCTAGCCAAGACTTTCTCAGACCTGCGCCACATCTGGGGCTCCTCCTGCCCAGTTCTTCTCCCTCCCCACTCTCCTTTTACAGGCATAAGAACTGCTGTGGAGTCTGAAGACTTCTCACTTCCTCCTGCTCCCTCTCCCTTCACAGGCATTTTCCCCAATAGACCTCTTGTTCTTCGAAGTGTCTTGGCATCTGGTTCCCAAAAGCGTTGAATCAAGATACCAATAAGACATTTCTCCATGCTCATTCAGGGCTTTCTCCAAACTAAAACCCATCCTTTAGCAGAGCTCCTACCAGCCTTTGTCTAGTTCACATGCCCAAGTTTTCCTATTCACCCTCCTTTGGAGAGGAAAGTCCTTCTGACAGCGTGTTGACCAGGGAAACTGCAGTTATGGGACACAGGCAGCAGCTGTGCCTCCCTGACTCTCAGGCAGACCCTTCTATCACCACAGAGCTCTTCTGTGTTTTCTTATTACTGCCGTGCTATGCATGTGCCTATCTGTTTCCCTCAAAACTACAAGATCCTAGAAGATAGAGTCTATGACCTTATCCATCTTTATTTCCACAGAACCCAGCATAGTTCCTGGTGCATAGAATGCGCTTGATACATTTTTTACACTTTTAAAATAATGTTTACATTTTTATAATTTATCATTTATACCCGGCCTCAATGCAGACACTGTAGCTATATAAAAAGGGCTTTGTAGTCAGGTAGAGTGGACAAATTACTTAGTTGCCCTGAATCTCATTATATGCGTCAACTTAAAAAGTTGTAATAAGGCTGGGTATGGTGGTTCAGGCCTATAATTCCAGCACTTTGGGAGGCCAAGGCGGGCGGACCACTTGAGGTCAGGAGTTTGAGACCAGCCTGGTCAATATGGTAAAACCCTGTCTCTACTAAAAATACAAAAATTAGCTGGGTGTGGTGTGCACCTGTAGTCCCAGCTACTTGGGAGGCCGAGGCAGGAGAATCACTTGAAACTAGGAGGTGGAGGCTGCAGTGAGCTGAGATCCCGCCACTGCACTCCAGCCTGGGTGACAGAGTGAGACTCCGTCTCAAAAAAAAAAAAAAAAGGTTATAATGAAACAAATCATCACTAGAGATGACCCCTCTTCTTCCCAATTCCTGGCATTACCTTCCATGTCAATGGAACTCAATGAATGTAACTCCGGGCCACCTCTCCCAACCCTACCCTTTCTCATTCTCACCCCAGGGGAGGTACATTTGGGAAAAATAGACTATGTGAGCTCAACTCACTCCTCTCTTTCTCTCTCAGGCTCAGTCAGTCTTCAGCAAACATTTGTTCTCAATAAGCCTTGCCATAGTTCTAGGGCAAGGTTTCTCAACCTTGACACTTTAGACATTTTAGGCCAAATAATTCTTTTTCATTGGGAGGGACTGTCTTGTACTTTGTAGGATGTTTAGTAGCATCCTTGGCCTCTGTTCACTGGATATCAGTAGCCTCCCTGCCCCTAGATATGACAACAAAAATATCTTCAGACATTGCCAAATATCCTCTGAGGTTATTGCCCCTGGCTGAACCCCACTGGTCTAGGATAACAGCCTTGCCCCTAAGGAGCAGGTGAGTCTGCTACCTTTTGTGATTAGGTAGGTATGTGTCTCCTTCTGGGGTTGGTTAGTGTAGTGGGTTGAACGGTGACCCCCTAAAAGACATGTCCACGTCCTAACCTATGGAAACTGAATGTGACCTTTTTTGTAAAGGGTCTTTGCAGATGCATTTAAGTTAAGGATCTTAAGATAAGAACATTCTGGATTTTCTCAGTGGGTCCTAAACCCAATGACCCAAGTATCTTTATAAGAGCAGAAGAGAAGACACAGACACCCAGGGAAGGCTGTGTGAAGACAGAGGCAGAGACTAGAGTGATGCAGTCACAAACTCAGGAAAGCCCAGAGCTGGAAAAAGTGGAAAGGGCTAGGACAGGTCCTTCCCTAGGTCCTTCCTCGTGTTTCTGCAGGAAACACAGCTCTCCCAACACCTTGATTTTGAACTTCTGGCTTCCAGACAGTGAGAGAATACATTTCTGCTGTAAGCCATCCGGTCTGTGGTAATTTGTTATTGCAGCCTAGGAAACGAATACAGGTAGCAAGCCAATCTGGGCTGTCATACTTAGCCATGTACAAGCCATTATCATATCAGCCATTATTGGTAAGAAAGATAATATTTTGATGTTCCATCTATTGACTTGGTTGTCTTATTTCTCACCTGGCTCAGAACCCAGGTGGGGAAGAGTGGTAGTATTTATGACACCCCTTCAAAAGTCCTTAAAATTACCTCCTGGGGTTGGGGCAAGAATGCAATGATACAGCATAAATGGAAGCACCCAGCACGACTTGTGGCACTTAAATTTATACTACATGTTACTTTTTTCTCTCTAGAATGATGACAGGTTTAGTGACCTTCAGCTTTTTCAGAATGTGGTGAGATCCATCTCCACTTTTTGATCTCCCAAGGAGGCTGCAACTGCATTCAGAGAGGACAGCCAGCCGGATCTTAGTTCTTCATTCTCTTAAAGCCACAGGAAGTGGTCAGGCATATGTCACTGAGTCCTTCCCAAGATTTATCTCAGAGGCCAGACACAGCCTTCCCATTGCAGGTGTGTGATCACTCTTTTAACATGGGCCCAGGGAAGAGAGATGGATTGAAAATGCCTTATCCAAATGACCTTCAGCTCCAGACCCATTACCCAAAATGTATTTTAGCCACAGGACTCTGCAGAGAGAACAGACAGCTAAAGATTCTTTGCACTAATGCCAGCATGATATGCAAGACATAAAATATCAATTTGCCTCAATCACTATTCTGTATGCACAAGGAGAAAAAGTCCCTAGACTTCAGCCTAGGAGGGTAAGCCACCCCGCTTTGCCCCTTTGCTTTTAGGACTCACTGGTATCTGTGTTGCCTTACTTACATGATTAGGAGCTCCGACTCATATCGCATTAATTTATTCTTCTCCAGAACCAGCTTAAACCATTCCTGCAAAAGCTGTGCTTCATCCTGTGCGCCTGAATCTGCTTAAGAAATCAACAGCAAATGGGTTAGATTGGCGTTTCTCTCCCCATGATCAAACTGCTTTGAGCCGCTTTAGCAGGTTATGTTTGTAGTGAGAAGGGCTCTGCAGGCAGCAGCTCCCTGACACCCTGTAGATGCCTCCAGGTTATGGGCATGACAAATAAAACCCACCTGTGCATGCTCTGGGTACGTGTGTGTGGGGATCTTCTCGGACACTTAGGGCATGACCACTCCAGTTCCAATGGTCACATAACCATGATAACATCCCACCACAAACGACCCTCCCCTTGCCTACTCGTATATTCTTTGTAAAACTTATACATGTAAATGCATCACATTCTTCACCAAGGACAACCCTAGCTGCTGGCCATCATTTCCTTCTTCTTCTTTTCCCCCAGATCAAATGCCTACTGAGTGCCCAGGTGGCCTATGGCTCCTTCCATGGGGCAGGGAAGCTCATGCCACATTTGGTCACAGAGGAGTGTTGACTGGCATTTTGATTTTTTGAACAAAGAAAAGTCAAATAATAACAAAAGAAGTTATTAGCTTTGTATCTCATGGGGGTAAAGTTATATCCATGTATTCTTATTACTTAGATTATGACCTTTATTAAACAGAAGAAGAATCATGAGAAAACTGGCACTGTTTCTTAGATATTTAATGTTAGACACTAAATATCTAGGTACTAAAATGTTAAAAGGTGGCTTTCGAATATTTCACCCTGAAGGGAGAACACAAGCTGTATGGAAAATGCTCATGGCCATCCTAGAAGGATTTATCCTGGAGGGTCCTATACACAGAGGGGAAAACAAGGCAGACAGAAGCTTTGGGTGACCTTGTGCAAGTTGCTTAACTTCTCGGAACCTCTGCTTCTTCCCTAGTTAAACTGGAATGAGAAGACACACAGGCAATACGATAATAATGAGCTGCTGTTTATTTTGTAGTGATTACATGACAGTTGATGGGCTATGTACCTTACATGCAGCATCTAATTTAATCCTCATAACAAACTTTTCTGTAGATACACTTATCGTCACCACTTGATAGCTGAAGAAATGGAGGTTTAAAAGATTAAACTTGCCCAAGTTCACAGTAAGCAGCAGAGCTAGAGCCTGAACTTAACTGTGTCTGATCCTTAACTGTGTCTTCACTGCTATGTATATTTCTCCCTCCCTCCTGCTAAAGTAGTCTTTTAAGGTAAATAATACGCCTAGTTCATTGCCTTGCACATAGCAAGAAATCCATAAAAATTAGTTCCCTTTTCTCCCTGTCTCCTGGACCACCTTTTTATTGATAATGAAACTGGGGCCCAGAGAGATTTACAGTCATGTCTCAGTATTTATGGAGGACTAGTTCTAGGACCCCCTCTTGGATATCAAAAGCCATGAGTGCTCAAGTCCCTTACATATAATGACATAGTACGGTCAGCTCTTCAAATCTGTGGGTTCCTCATCTGTGGATTCAACCAACTGTGGATCAAAAAATATTCAGAAAAAAATATTTCACAAAGTTCCAAAAAACACAAATTTGCTGCACTTCAAGTACTATGTTGAATCCATACAAATGAAGTAATTTGTAGGCATTGCATTAGGTATTATGAGTAATCTAGACATGATTTTAAAATATGGGAAGATGTGCATAGGTTATATGCAAATACTGTGCCTTTTTTTTTTTTTTTTTTTTTTAGACAGAGTCTCGCTCTCTTGCCCAGTCTGGAGTGCAGTGGCACGATCTTGGCTCACTGCAACCTCTGCATCCTGGGTTCAAGCAATTATCCTGCCTCAGCCTCCTGAGTAGCTGGGACTACAGGTGTGCACCACCACACCTAGCTAAGTTTTGTATTTTTAGTAGAGATGGGGTTTCACCATGTTGGTCAGGATGGTCTCGAACTCCTGGCCTGAGATGATCCTCTCGCCTTGGCCTCCCAAAGTGCTGGGATTACAGGTGTGAGCCATCGTGCCTGGCCTGCTATGTCATTTTATATCAGGGTCTAGTGCATTCATACATTTTATTATCTGCACAGGAGTTCTGGACCCAGTCCTACATAGATACCAAGAGGTGACTGTATTTGCATGTAACCTATACACATCCTCTAGTATACTTTATATAATTTCTAGATTATTTATAATACTGAATATGATATAAATGCCATGTCAATATTTTCCATATTGTATTGATTTTTCTATTTGTATTATCTTTTATTGTATTATTTTAATTTTTCTCTAAATATTTTCAATTTGCAGATGCAGAAGGGTGAACTGTATATGCAATATCCCAGATTATTTACTTTATGGGCAAACTGGTGCTAGAATGCAGAGCTTGGCTTCTGTTTCATTCATTCACTTAATAACACCTATCTATCAGACATCTCCTATGTGTTGGTATTACCTTAGGTACTGGAGATATAGTGATATATAATGTTACATTGCATGAGAAATTTGCAGATAGTAAGGCATTGTGCCTACCAAAAAGGATATCACTAGATGCTCTTTGGATCAGATGGACTCAAAGAGCTAGAATAAAATAGAATATTAGAAAACAATCACAATAAAGCAACAAAAAGCACTGTGGGCACACCGGGGAGGGAGGATTTTCCTGATCAGGGTGTGAGGCTGGACTTTCTGAGGGACTGGGGTGGAAGAACAGGAACACTTTTGAAAGGAAATAATGAGGGTGGAAGAGTGCATTTTTCAAGAAGAGGGAACAACTTGAGGAAAAAGGAGGGAATGGGGAAGAAGATGGTGAAGACAGAGATTGGGGGGGCTGAGGGGCACGGAGGGGTAGGCAAGGAGGCCTGGCATTTTTTTGATGATTTCATCACAGAGAATAGGGCTACGGCATTTGCACTTCATGCTGTAGAACACAAAGGGACATTAAAGGAGGTGGAGTAGGAGAATGATGTGTGAAGTGTCGTGTGTGTGAAGGACTAAAGTGAGAGAGGGAGGAGGAAGGGAAATAAGGTGTTATTCTTTCTTAGGTTTCTTGAGTGAATGAATGTTTGAGCAAGCGAATGTATAAACATTGAGGGCCAACATCTTCTAAGCATTGTATGTGGTGCCAGACAGGGTTAAACACTGCTTCTAGCTCTTTAGGTAACTGGTAGCTCATGGTCCATTGGGGAAAACCAACATAGCCAAATAGAATACAACATGCCTCTTGTGAGAACACAGGAGGTAGGCAATTAATTGTGTGTGGAGAAAGCAAGGGAAAGCCTCAGAGAGGGGACAGCAGGTGCACTCAGTCTAAATGGATGAGTGAGTTTGCCAGGGAGAGGAGGGAAAGAACAAGGCATTCACGGACATTTGTTGTTGAATGAAAGAATGAAGTATGTATGCCAGAGATCACATAGAATATAGAAGTTAAGAATGCACACTTTGAACTCAGACTTGGGATCAAAATGCCACTCCTCTACTTCCCATTGTGTGGGCTTGAGTGATTATCACAGACTTCCTAAGCCTCAGTCTCTTTATCTGCCATGCAGCTGCAGTGGGATTATGCACACAAAGCCCTTATCCCAGTCCTGGCACATAGTATAAGCTCAATAAATGGGAACTGTCGCTACTGAAATCATACAATATACACGGTAGAAGAACCCTCCGGGGTCATCTGGTCCAGCCATGAGCCAATGCAGGAATGCCCTCCATTCCTCCCTGACAGGTGACTGCTCTGTAATTATCCATGGGATGAGGGAGCTCCCTTCTGTTCAGGAAGTCTCCTGCAGGGCTGTGTACTTTTAAGTCCTGAAAACTTTCTATTGGCCTTCAGTGGGTTGACAGCTAGCCATTGATTCCAGTTTTTCTCCCTGGAGGAGGATGGAAAACAGTCACTGTATATTTTACATGACAGACCTTTAGATATTTGAGGACACGTCTCACAATTGACTGAAGTTTGCTCTTTTCACAGTGCCTCCAGATCGTCTGTCATTTTGTCATAGGAAGGATGCCCATTCTGCTTACACTCTAATTTTCCAAGATATATCTTAAAGAGAGTCTAGAATTAAACAATATATAAACAACCCAAAATAGAGAGACCCTCTCACACCTTCATCCTATGCCCAGAGATTGAGAAGTCTTTTTAGCAGCATTTTCACTGGGGCTCTTATTTACCAGTAAATGAACTCTGGCTTTTCCACAACGGTGGTGGTGAAGTCTGATACCTTCATCTCCTACTTGTGCAACTGATCTTTTTCATAACCCAATTCAAGACTTTATATGCATCTTGTTAAATATCATCTTATTTATTTGGCCCATGATGGAGATATCTTTTGAATATTTTATCCAGCTAATACATTTCTCCTAACTCTGAGATTTCTGCAGAATTGATAAATGGGCATCCTGTACATTTATGTGATATTAGAAAGCAAAATGTCAGATGGAACTGGACATGGAAGACAGCCATCTGGCCCATCATTAGGGACCTTTCTCAGCCTTTGGATGAAGCTGACTCTATATGCACCAAACTGGTATCATCCAGCCCACATTGCTATATCTTGCCTATGAGGCTGTTAGAGAGATGACCAAGGTCAAAATAATTTCCTGAACTGAAGTTCCACAATGTCTGTCACGTTCATTGGCACTACAAACCTTGCATCTCCACCCAGAAAAAGAAATGACATTTGTTTTTCACAGTTTCTCAATAAACACTAGTGGTTCCTAGTAATCTCGAAATTCTTTCTAAATACTCACAATTTCTTTTCTTTTCTTTCTTTCTTTTTTTTTTTTTTTGAGATGGAGTCTCGCTCTGTTGCCCAGGCTGGAGTGCAGTGGTGCAATCTTGGCTCACTGCAAGCTCCACCTCCCAGGTTCACGCCATTCTCCTGCCTCAGCCTCCCAAGTAGCTGGGACTACAGGTGCCCACCACCAGCTCCACCTCCCAGGTTCACGCCATTCTCCTGCCTCAGCCTCCCAAGTAGCTGGGACTACAGGTGCCCACCACCACGCCCAGCTAATTTTTTTGTATTTTTTTTTTTTTAGTAGAGACGGGGTTTCACCATGTTAGC